AGTTTCGGACATACGACACACATCAATACCAGTGTGTCCAAAGGGCGCGCGAGTGCAGCCTGTTGACCTGTTTGCCTTAGAGTGCGAACGTTGAATGTCGCCATGGAAACGGGATGGCGTGGCCTTATAAGGGACTTTTGCCGATAGGCGTCCCATAGGTGCTATGGGATGGTGGCTGCAGATGGTTCTACTTCATTGGCACTTCGGGTGCTGTCACTTAAGCTGGGAATTATAGAAGGAATGTTAGTGATAGGATTCGGGATGGGAGTAAGAGAAACAGGTGGAAAAGAAGGAAGGGAGACGCCAGAATTAGCATGATTTCACTTATCCGCCCTGCTGTAAGCAGCAGATAATGCGACCCTTGAAAATCTGCGAGACGGCCGATAGATACAAGGTGAAATTTATGTTTGCAGAATATGTCATGCTTGTATGTGGGCTGAGATACTGCCACGATGCCCTAACCTAGACAGGAGGATAATTAGGGTCCTCATCCAAAGCCTTTGTCTCAAAAGCTTGTCCGCAAGGAAGCGGGGAGTTGGCATTGATTCAGTTCTACAGTAATGGACGCCATCCCATTTCCAACCCACAACCTGGAGGACTAGGAGACTGAGTTTATCTGACCGCTCACCTTTGATCAACCTGGTAGGAGAATCTCTTAAGGTTCCCGGAGGGATCACTTAGTATAGCTCAATGGGTCAAGGAGGTACGCAAACCGTCGCACCACGCTAAGGTCCAGTGGAATTGAAAGCCAATCAGCGCCGCTAGCACAAGCTGACTACGATCATATGGTTCAGCTGAAGAGTGTTGCTTGTCAAAAACGGCTTGGGTACTGGAAAAAGGCAAACGTGTTATCGTGCGCGACAGTGACCCTGAGCGGGTGGTGCATGATCCGATTATGGTTGATCAGTCGAGTGGACAGAGCAGACAGAGCCATCGGGTAAATAGCCACTCATCGCCGCCAGCTTAATCAGACCACCCCTTAACGGACTTGGTGAACAACCCAGAATTTCTTCGAGTTACTCTCAGCGAGGTACAGCTTTGTTCCCGCCAAAATCAGAATTTTCCAATTGGCAATGAACGAACGATGAGCGCAAGCCAATGCACTCCGGCAGATGGACAGCAAGAACTAGCCAATGAAAGTGCGCGACAGTAGAGCGGTCACTGTCCAGTCTTCATTTTGATTTCGTGAGGGCCATCTTGAGGCGTTAATTTACAGGAAAGCTTTTCGTTTCATCGGCCGAAAAATAGACGGATAAGTAAAGCACTACCACACGAGACTTATCACTAAGTGTCATGTGGATTTCATACGCAAGAAGTCTGCTGCGAATCAAGAATTTACAAAAGCAAAAATATTGAAATTGCAAACTTAAAGTATATCATTCAGTGGACTTGTTTTTACCTTACTTAACATTATTCCTGGTGTTATCAGGTTTCATATATTGGGGAAATATGTAATTTAAAGCGGCTTCTTCGTCGTTCTTGCGTATCACTCTAGCGCTCATTGTCAATCCGCGCGGAGCCTTGCTTGCGACTGCTGAGTTGTGTCAGAGATAGGAAAACAGTGTTGCGTCCCTTGTTTGCCAGGAGATGGTATAAGAAAAATAAGTGCATTCATGTCCCCACACAAGTTCAGTTTTGCTGTCCCAATGGGGGCACCATGGTTCGTCTATCGGGGGCTATAAGCAAAACGACTCGTACATTTAAAGCGGTACTGTTGCGGAAAGGTACGTTGCTTCATCACTATAACTGGACAGCCAACACTGCAGTTTATCAGTTTATTTGGTACCCATTAATTCAACAATTCTTCTTCATATTGCAACATTGAAGCTCTTCCTCACTCTCCTTATATATTCAACATGTATTAAGTCAGGATGCGAGCAAAGTTTCTAGTCACAATTTTATGAAGGCATTTTGTGCATGTAGACAGTAGTCTTCCCGGAAAATTTCTATAAAAACCTCTAGTAATTTGAGCTTATCCAAATGCGGGTAGTTACCTCGTGAAGGAAAAGCGACTATCGCACGACAACATGTGTTAATAAATTAGATGAGGTCAGCAATCAAGCGAATATTATCGCCTGGTAATCTCATTCTGGAACAAATTTCAAGTATGAATCGTGATGCGTCAATTTGGAAAAAGTACAATCTTTAGGATAAAATGTTTGTCCTTGATAACCATTGAAAAGAAGCTCCAGGTTAAAAATAATAGATGAAACCGAATGAGCAAAATAAGAAATTATCATTGAAAAGTGCTGTAACGTCATTCATAGTAAGATGTTTTAGTTCGGCAACTGGATGCACACCTTCGATGGTTGTAATTCATAACGTTTTACTTCCCATCAAAAAGCCGTTTTTTCATTATTTTCAATTTAGCTAAGAAGAGTACAGCAAAATATAGTGATTTGCAAGACCTAGCAGGTCGTTTGGATCAGCCGAAAAGATTGATTTTAAAAGGTTAACTTTAGGGGAAACCTTACACTACTCAAGCAGCTGACACGGTTTGTTCCCTATTCATGCTCAGATATGCTAATAAAAAATTTTCACGATTTGAATCAGGCGCCTCCTGCAAAGTATCAGTGAGGAGTTACAAGCCTTTTAAAATATATCTACCTTAGCTCGATGGAAAAATATGGCGAATACTACATAGGAATATTCTGAAAGAGAAACCTTTTCCTAGGAATAGTGGTACGTATAAAAACATAAAAAAGTAAACATAATGTAAATTCAGTTTTAAGGTCATTATAGTTATAGATGCCTCCTTGCAGATCCCAAGCCGACTAAGGCATACCGAAGGAGAAAATGCTTAACTTCTTAATGCCAGACAATTAACCACAAGGAAAGGACCCATAATTGTTCGCCCATCATAGCAGCGGAATTATCAGCGCATTAGCTCTAAGTAGTGAAATGAACATGTAATAGGGATTCAACAAATAGGGATCAAAGCAAAGGTAGAGAGGGTTTGAGTGGCAACGTAAATGTCCGAGTTGGAATAAAGATTTGAGTAAACTTGGAGTTAAGCTCAGGAATTTACGTAAAAATATGTAGTAGCGATGAAAAATAAGACTATACTTACAAGTTTGAACCTGTATCAGGGGATTACAAAGTGTGAGGTCAGTCAAACTTTCAGGCAGGCTCAGTTTAGCTTAGTGGACTTAAGTAGAAAAAGGGGACCTCTAGGAAAGGCTATAAAACAGGTAAATTTAAACTATAAGAGACGTGCCAAAGCTCGAGCCCACCTAGATAGAAATAAACATAGGAATTAGGAGTGGGCATGATGAAGGGAAATGTGATATCCGCGAAAATTAAACCAGCAAACGATAAACTATTTAGGAAGAATTTGACGAAGAAAATGTCCAGAAACTACCTCTGGGTCTGATGTGCCGCAGGCAATGACATTTTCAGAGCAAAATCCGTTAGTAAAATGTCGTGAAACATAAAGTGATCGGTCATCAGAAGCGAATGATCAATAATCAAATAATACTATAAGTTACTAATAATAAAGTTAAATAATTAAATAATCGTAAACAAATAATAATAAAAATCCATAAAGAAATGTTATGGCGAATGCGAAGACGAAATTATCTGCATTGACAATAATCGATTTTAGGGATGAGTCTTATATGTCACAGGTAAATGATAACGTCCATGCAGGAAAAGCGACAGAATTTCGGAGTGTGCAATAGGGGATACTGAAGAAGAGTATGTCAACATCAGTGAGAATATGGACTGGGTCACGAAGCCGCCATGCGTGCACATAGGCGTCATCTTCCACAGACAGATTTGGTGTGGACGAACGTAGCAACGCCAATTCAGCGGCATATAGAGAGGGCAATTTGCCTTGCGTATTTAGATAAATAGATAAATAGATAAATGGTATATTCCTCGG